GTTCATAGATATATTATTATAAAGCATGTTATATGTTCTTTGCAGATATTCAATCATTTAACTGTTACTTCATATTTATACAAATGGGTATAGAAACTTGTTTAGAAAATTTATCAAACGAGATTTTCGTGGAAACATTTGACTATCTACATGCGCTTGATATCTTTAGTGCATTTGGTTCATTGAATAAACGAATTTCGTCGATTTTACAATCAACTCTACTTCGTATTATTATTTCAGAAATTCATTGTCGTAATCAAGTTGACTTTCTTTCTTCTTATCTTACTTTCCATGATCATCAAGTTATTTCAATACAAATTGATGATACAATTTGTGATGATACATCTATTATTAGTTTATTATTCAGTCGACATAATTTTATTAATCTTCAATTCTGTAAATTTATAAGAATCGATCAATCAACAAAACTTGACAATGTTATTCAACAAATAAAAACTTTTGATAAACTTGTTTCATTTAATATTTTTAATCCAAATGGTATAACTATGAATGAAAACGATAAATGTGAATTAGCCCGAATTATGTTAATGCACAAATCCTTCTCTTCGCTCAATTGTTCTACACTATCCTTATCATTATTCAAATATTTTCAATAATATTTCATTATCTTCAAACATCACATCGTTGTATTTGTATACCTACGGTTTACCTTCAATCGTTTCTCTAGATTCAATTTTGACAATTCTTCGTCATTGTCATAGAGTACGCTATTTAGGTTTAATGATGCAAGATCACGGTCCGATTGACAATAATAATATCTAGTAAGTTGTCAAATAAAAAATATATTAATTGAAAAAGTGTGCGAAAAGAAAAGTTTTTAATTCAAAATAAAATCTTTTCTTTTCTTCTGTTTTCTTTTAGTGATCCATTTTTGATACCATCTGTCAATGAAGCTGATCTTCCTGTATTATCACATGTGATCTCATTTGAATTGACACTTTATGTTGCATGGAATACTGCTTCAATTAATTATTTATTACGTTGTATGCATAATCTTAAATATTTCATTTTTATATTTAAGCCAATTAGATCAAACTATTTATTTCCTGTGGATTTAATTGACGGTTATGTATGGCAAGAAATGTTAGAACTTTATGTTCCATATCTATCGAAATTTGAGTTTCATATGTCAATTTGGAAATATAGTCCACGAACCGATTTGAATATTGTTATTAATTCATTTAAATATTTTGTTAACAAATATTCTAACTGGCACATGATTATTGATCAATGGAGTTCGGCGTATTCAGTTCTTGGTAAATAAACTTAGTCAAAAAGTTTTAAAAGATAATACTATGAATAAGAAGATATAGAGTATAGTAAAATGTCTCTTGGTAACTAATGAGAGAATCTTATGAGGTGTTAAAAAACTTTTAAAAATAATTGAAGTTTAAAATTTTTTTATTACGTCAAGAAATTTTTTCGTAAGTTTTATTTAAAAGAGAAGATTAGAAAATATCTTGAATAAATAATATTTTTGTAGTGTTCTTATTCTAAAAAGCTAAATAATTTTCTTAATAATATATATTCAAAATTTAATTTTTTTTCACGTTTTAGCCGAATTTATTATGCTTCGTACATTGAATTATCACAAACATAAATCAAATCCGTATACATATATACCTTCAATTCCTAGTGGAAGTTTTAACACACAATTAACAATGGAAAATATAGATGATCATCATTATCTTTTTTATAAGAATAAAATAGATTTAAGACTATACATGACATCTGAAAGACCAACTATTACTTATTCTTCTCCATTATTTCAACAAATCAAATTTTTCACATTAGAAATGTCAAAAATTCCTTCAACATGGTTGAACAATTTTCTGGATATTGGTAAAAAAGAATATGTTTATTTTTTATACAAATTATTGGATTAGTTAATATTATTTTTTAGTTAATTTTCATGAAACAAGTGATGATGATGCAGAAGAAATTGTTACTTATCTTTCAAATTGGATTTATTTATCCAAATTAGTTGAAATGAAATTTGGCTCATCATTTGATATATATAGATGGAAATATGTTCAGTTTATTTTACAGTAAGGATCTTTTAGATTTGTAAAAGTATTTTATTCTTTATAATCTTAGTAAAACCTTTCACTGGATATTAGAAAAGTCTATCGGAGTGTTGTCTTTATCAGAAACTGAAATGAGCGAGAACTATCGTGATCCAGTTTGACAAAGATAAAGATTCGTTCTATTCTATTTGACTTACAACAGCTGCAATTCTCTTTCAATTCGATGCACGTCGTGTCAGTTTTTTCTGAGAATTCATGTTATAGAAAATTCAATGAGATTAGAAAAGACTTTAAACCATCTTGATAGACAAATCAAGACTAATTGAATTAGATTCGATCGATGAAATAAAATCTAATGATGAAATTGTTTTTTTTTCTAATTTAGAGAATGTTCAAACTTGACCAGTCTTACAATATTAACTGAATTATTAATCTATTCGAAATTTATTGATAATTCATTTCTTATTCCAATTTTCAAACGAATTAAACTAATTGAAACAACATTTGAAGATGTTTATTTTCCTTCAAGTTTTTCAATGAA